TCTCTTCTTCTTCAAATATCATTTTTAAAAAATTAATTAATTTTTATTTTATAAGATTAATTAATAATATTTTTTATATTTTATTTATTTTTATATGATTATTTATTTTTAAAGTAAAATATTTCTTTGAAAATAATTTCTTGAATTTTTTTAACAATAATTTATTCAATTTATTTTCCAGAATATTCATTTATTTAAAAAATTGCTAGGATATGTTAAAAAATCTTTATGAATATTAACTTAAAAAACTGCAAATATTTTATGATATCAAAAGATAATTCTGATAGTATTCTATTCAACAATCAATTTATATATAATTTTATAGTTTTATAATTCTATAGTTCAATTCTATAGTTCAACCAAATATCAATAATAAGAAAAATTTAATATTTCTCAAGAAGATATCTTTAATGAAAGATCATTAAAAAATTAATTTTCTTATTGGTAACAATAATCGACAAGTTTCATTTCTTTTTATAAAGATGGCGTTACTAGTTAAGTAGCATAATATAAACTGGCAACAAACAAAAATTGACAAAAATCATGATTCTTTTAACTTATATCTAATATGCAATTAATTGATTTATTTAAAAATCGTTTGAACAAGAATGCATAATTATCTAAGCAGAAATAATTGGATATCTTAGATAGAGTAAAAGAAAATGAATGCACGAGAGTACATTAAATATATGAGAGGCAGTCTTGAGAAAATTTTTGCCAGAGAAAGAGTATTCACAGAGAAAGTATTTACTATTCAAGAAAAAAAAATCTTTTAAAAATTTCATACTATTTCTCTTTATAATTATTAAAATAGTTTACTTTTTCTTTCTTTTGTCTATAAATTATTGTCTATAAAAATTCATATAAAAATTATCAATACTAATATTACTAATACTAATAGTAATACTAAAATTAATCTTCTAAAAATGTTCCACGGATATGTTAATATAATATATTTGTATATACTGAATATAAAAATAAGATTATAAATGTTCAGAAAAGAAATAAAAAAAGATATTATAATCATATAGATTCCATTATGATAATATATAATAATAATTTTTTGGATGAGAAAACAAATAATAAGTAAATATTTATTTATTATATAAGATTTAATAAAAATAATAGTAAATTTTTTATATTATAAAATAAATTTTTTCTGTATCGATTTATTTTAATAGATTTTGTAAGAAAAATATTTTCAAATTATGGCAAAAAATTATATAAAAAAGAAAATGGAAAATAACAGGAATGGAAAAGAGAAAACAGAATTTTGAAAAAAATTTTTATTATTATAAAATTTATAACTAATTATTTTTGATTTTTCAATAAGAAGCTAATAATTTAGATTAATTATATAAGATTCAATCACTACATTCTAGTATTTCACTGATAAAAATTGATATTCAAAATCAATTTATGTTGGATTTAAATTTAAAATTTTATTGAAAAACTAACTTAAAATAATTAATTTAAAATAAAACTTTAAAATTTATGTTGAAAAGAAAAAGAACAGAATCATATATCTTGGTATTACTCATCATTATATTGATTAAAAAAAATATTATATTGATTAAAAAAATAATGAAAATTTCAATGAGAATTTCAAAAAATTCGATTTTACACGAAACAAATTTTCATGTAAGATACAAGAAGTAATTGGATATAAAATCCAAAGATTAATGATTTTTTAATTAAATTTTGTTAGATAAATTTAAGTATTAAAATATAAGTTAATTACAAAATAAGGTAATTGTAATTATAATCTATATATATTTTTATATTTATTCTTATATATTTCTTATATAAAATATTTAAAAAATATTTTTTGAAGTATAAGCTTATAATTAAATATATAAAAGTGTAAGATATGTAAATGAAAGTATATACTATACACATATTGTGGCATATACATTACAAAATGATCCTACTTTTTTTAATTAAAAAAAAAAAAAATATTTAGAAATTATAAATGTATAAAAAAAATGTATAAAAAAATATATACGTAAATATATAAAATTCTAATTGAATTATTTGTTACTAAAAAATATGTACTGAAAACACTATTTAGTTTCTTTATAGATGTAAGAAAAGAAGAATAAAATAAATGTAAAAAAAGCGATAGAATAACGATAGAATTATTTTGCAAAAATCAAAAATAAATAAAAAAAGAGGCCAATGCGAACATATAGAAATATTGTATTGGCGAATTTGAGAATATCGATTAAATTTTATATTATATTGTTATGTTATTATTGTATTACTATATATTATTATATTTATAAATATATATATATAATAATATTTTATTGTTCGTTACAAATATTAATGTTAGATTCAATTCATATTTTTACTAATTTATGTAACTAGAAGTTTTAAAACATGCATATGTTTTTAAAAATTTAAGATATATAATATAAAAGAAAATATGAATACTTTTTTGTATTCTTTTTTTTTCATTTTACAAAAAATATTTTTTTTCTCGTTTTTCACAATCCAATAAAACAAGCAAAATAAAAGAAGGAACCGCCAAGGAATCAATTCTTATGTTCTCAAATATTTATTTTCTCAGATAATAAAAAAATTAGTATTTTATCAAATAATGCATTTTAATTTCGATTTTATGATAATTATTTAGACAATATTGTATTTCTTTCCTTTGATTGGATTTAAAATATAAAGTTACTAAAATAAAATGTTAAAATGTTAAAAAAATATTAAAATTATTAAAAAAAAAAAGATATTAATTCAATTGTACAATACATTGAATTGATTGCGTTTTTTAAATTATTTCAATATCGCTTCAGTTTTTTTTCTGAATAATTATCGCTTAGATACGAATGAATCATTGATAGGATGTTTGATTTGAAATGTTTGTTTTGATTATGAAAAAATGTAAAATAAAATTTTATTATTTAAGTCCTTATTTTTGAAAAAATCAAAATTGAATAGTCATATAATCGAAAAAATTTTGAAATTCAATTTTTTCGAAAATTAATTTTTGAATAAAAAAACTTATTCTATTTAAAAAATTTCAAACTTAATTTATTCAAAAACTCAATTTGATTATCTAGATAAAAAAATCTATC